CCACCTTTATTTTACGTAGAAATGACTCCCCAACGCACTGAGAATGTACTACAAATTTGCTTTAGTGTGCAAAGTCTAAAAAACTCCACTAATGCTGCAGCAGCTATCAAGTTTCTGCTTGCTGTAGGAATTTTTACATTTTATTGGTGCAATGACATAATTCATTCACCTACAGAATGAAATTAGGAATGAATAATTTCTACATTAATCGCTTACTGGTTGAGTTTACTTTTTAGTTAATAAGAACACTACTGATTTTACATTAATTATGATGGAATATAATGGCAGCTTACATTGCTTTTATCAATACATACAAACAAAACTTCTGAAGCCACATTATGATTGTGTGTGGGGGAGAAGTATACAAACTGCTTATAAATATTTAGCGTGTGTAAGTGATTTGAACTGTAGCCAGTATCACCACCTGTACCTCAAGGAGCACCAGGAATTTCATTTAACTACCTAAATCTTTAAAATCTATAACACTATTTAGAAGTGAAAAATGTAGGCATACTAGATTTTCCCTCCAAAACTTACCTCTATATGCTACTTCCTTTCATAAAACTGTTATTTTTTTTTAATTTTGTAAATTCATTACTCCTCTGTTCATTCACTCACTGAACCATTGTACTAATCACATACATTGCACTGACAGATGCTAAAGATGACATTTCTGCACTAACGAATTCAACAGAATACAGGGAAAAAGACAGGTAAACAGATAACTACTATGCAAAACTGTATTCAATATCAATGTGTTTCAGCGTTCAGGAGAGAGAGAAAACAGTTGTTCAGGAGAGAGAGAAAACTAGCCATGTGATCTGAGCCAAATCTTGAAGGAAGAGTAATTTTTCATCTTTCAAAAAAGGGGACAGATCGGGGAGCAGTACCAATGCTCAAACCAGGTAAGTCATGAGCCGAGAAAATAACTAAAATTTATTGTGTTTACTACATGCCAGGCAACATCTGCACTTACAGAAGTTTAATGGGGAATATAATTTCTGTTATATCCCCACATTTTAGAGGAAACTGAGGCTGCTGAGAGATTAAATAATTTACTCCATGTGCTAGGCATGGACTAGCATGCTGGTCTCTTTGAATTCACAACATGATTAAATAACAGTATATATTGGAAATGTCAGAACTATTTAGGTTAGAACGGAATACAAGGACATGAACACCATTTTCAAGAGTTGGGCTTCCCTGTAAAGGCAATGGAGGATCCAGCAACTAAAAGTTTGGGAGTAGAAAAATGATATGAAGATGGAGGGATCTGTCTAGAAAGTTTATAATAAAAGTCCAGCAGTGGCAAATAAAACAGATATGAGACGTTCTTCTACGCTACTTTTCCTCCCTTAGCTTTGTTTCTTCCTCAACTGTGTAGTCACAGAACAGGTACAATCAATTTCCATTCTGTTCATACAGTACAAGTTTGTTACTAAACAACAGTAGTTCATAACATAAATTGTTAATGGTCTGGTCAATTGAGAGGTTATAAATCAAATATTAATATAAATGAACTTTTCAAGCAAGAAATAATTTATGCAAGACATATTCTGATGGAAGTGACAAGGTTTGGAAACTAAGTGTAAGGTACAGAGAGCACAAGGAGGAAAAAAGTTAAAGCTGAAGTTAAAAACCTGGATGACTTGAATAATGGGAATAGAGTCATAAAGAGAAATATGAGCAGAAAGAGATGGGTATCTGCCCTGCTTTGTGTAGGGACAGAGAGGAGGGGAGTTTATGAATTTACTTTCAGGCAGGTTCCATCTGAGCATATCTCCTTAACTGTCTTCTGTGGAAGAGGACCAGCAGATAAAAATGTGTGACCAGTGCTAAGGGGAGAAGCAGGGCTGAGCTAGGTACTTGAGACATCTGCAAAGATACAAAAGCTGAAGCTTTGCGAGCAGATCACTCTACTCACTGGGGGAAGGTAGAAGAGGTTGGTGGGGGGCGGGGGCGGTGGTAAGGTGTCTTCCAAAGCTTCAAGTGACTTCCAGGATTTCTCACTTAGAGAGCAGTTTGGGACTAGTTCTTATCTGAGCCTTATACCACAATTTCATATAATTTCAATCACAAAAAATGCTTTACTGTACAGTGCAGCTGACCCAGGAGGGGAAAACATGAACTGTTCTAACCTAGACTTTCTGTAACTATGTAAAAAGGTCTGTAGGACACACCACGACAAATGAATAACTAAACAACTTCATTGTGCTTCTTCAGATAATTTTATTTCCTACTAACCTAGTGGCCAAAAGTGAAAAGATTATTACATTTCATACCGGTATCCTCAAAAAGCAACTGTATATAACTGAAAAAAGTAAAGATATTATTCTAGATTAATTTCTAAAATGCTTCCTACCACAGGACATATATGAAACTACACCAACAACATAAAACTTTTAAATGTGTCAAACAATAATAAACTTTGTTCTAAAATGATCAAACACAAATTAAATTAAAAACCCAACACTATTTAGTGTTTGGCATTTACAATTTCTACTAAAAACAAAGAGAACTATTGTTTCTCCCTTTTCCAAATTAAGCTGTCAAATTTAACACAGAGATAAATCCAGAAAAGGATTCTGTCATCAATTGTTAAGAAGTGTAATGTCACAAGAGCATTAACTTTGGATTCAGACAAACTCAGGCTTAAATACCGTCTTTGCACTTCCTACTTAGGTGTCCTTCCGTGAATTACTTAAAGCTTTTAAAAATTTATTTTACTTATTTGTGAAATGGTAATAATCAAACCTAGCCCAAACTTACAACAAATTAACAAATGTATTGTCTAACTGAACCAGGCATATACAAAGTATGGTACTACTAAGTCTTAACAGCTTCCCTTCCTTACTTCCACAATCAGTAATGGAAATTCCAAGAGCTTTAAATTAAGTATTAAAAACTTATTTTTGAAAATTACAAACAAGGTGGCAGAAAAAGTAAAATGATTTAAATATTAGTTTAAAAAATAACACCTTTAAATCCTATTTCTGATTCTATATGCAAGGTCCTCCTCCCAAGAGATTAAAAAGAACATTTAAATAAAGTGACAAGACGTTAGAATTTCACTTTACCAGTTACTTCAAATTAACCTCACAGTTTGGTTAATATTTTTCTTAAATTACTAAAAGATGTGATCAGAAATTTATATGCAAAATATCCACAGAATAGTCTTACAAAACTCGAAATAAAAACAAAACCACAAAATTCCTTCAAATTGGAGTTTTCATTCATTTACTGTTAAAACATGGTATTGGGCGAGCATAGAGAACAAGACCCCTTCCCACCCAGCCCCACACCTTTATGGAGCTCAGTGCCCTAAGAGTGCCGGATGACAAGAAATCCTGTCATATCATTTTGAAAAAACTTTGCTATTTTAGGTCTTTACAACACATGGCAGGCCTGTATTAACTCCCACACTGAGTACTCTCTCCTCAGCTAGATTTCTAGCCACTTGAGCTCCTAATCACCACTTACCAACAGCAGAATAAAAAACATGACAATCCCTTTAAAAAAACTTTTTAGTACTACTTAATTTTAAATGTGTGTGAGCACCTGCATACATTTTCAGTTACCCATTTATGGTTATTTACCAATATTACACGTGTAAATACTGCACAGCAACTTTTGTGTATACAGGGATCTGCCTACCAGGACTGTGGATTATGGAGAATCTTGCTGCTCTCCCCATTTTGTCGTTTTATTATCACTTTCACCAAAGAGCACAGAGGTAAAGAAGATTTCTGAAACTGAAGATAAGGCTGACTGCTGCACGTTCACATCGGGAAGAAGACAGAACATGACATTTCAGTACAAGAACACAGGATATAAAAACACTTGGAAGGAGAGCGTTCCAACCGAAAATATCCGTAGGCTTACATGAGGATTTCTTAAACACCAGTTATGTGTTTGTGTTTCATACATGGCTGTACTGCTTTGGAACTTAAAAATGAGCCCTGTTAAACTAAGAGTGGCGTCTTTGAAAACTTTATCTTATTCATAGTTATGTCAGTTACTTCTGAGTTTGAGAAACATCAAGGACCTGTGCAGGAAATACTCAAAATTAGGAGGGTACCCCCGTGTCCCAAAACACACTCTGGAGAATGGGGCCTCACAGAGGCCAAAGGAAACCGCGAATAAGAGAGATCCAGTTCAATGATCAGATTTCTTACTTCAAATGCCTGAGAATTTAAGTCGTTCATCTGGTTCTAACGCTGTCACAGCATCTAAGATACAGTAAAAGGAGTTCCACAATCTCCCCTCTTCAGAAGTCCTAGCAGGACCACGGGGCGCTACCAAGTCGGCCCCCAGGGCGGCTACTGCCAACAAGAGTAGCAAACAACCGTGGGGAGGGGGGTGTCTTTTTATGAGCAACTTCGTTGCCTACAGCTAAAACCGAAAAAGAAAAAAAAAAAAAAAGAGAGAGAGAGACTTACACGGCTAAAGGGAAAAAAAACGTAGGACCCAGGAAAGAAAGCAGTTTGCTTGTGGGAGGATTAGACTAGAAGAGAGAAGTGAAGGTCTGCTTCCTAAGCAATTTTTTCCCCCTTAGCCCTCACCCCGGCCACCCTCTCCGGCCAGGCCATCGGGCTGAGTACTGTTCTTGGGCCGCTCCCAGGCCGGGACCCAGACCCCTCTGCAGTACCCGACCCTGGCGCAGGGCCCCCGTGGCCCATGCGCGGGGAGAGGGTCCCCAGCGGCCGCCGCCCTCCGCGCCCCCGGCCCCCGCCCGCCGCCGCCGCCCAGCTCCCGCTACCTATTTTCGGAGCACACACCCTACAAGGAGCGGAGCGAGCAGGCCTGGCGGAGACCTGCCCCCGCGCGGGGCCTCGGGTGACTGACAGGGGCAGGCACTCGGGCGCAGCGAGGAGAGGGGAAGGAAGGGCAGCCGGGGGCACCGACCAATGCCCTTCCCCGGCGGCCAGACTCCGGGCTGATACGGCGGGGTTCTACTGGCTTCCCGGACCGATGGGCTTTGCCGCCCCCGCGGCCCTTACCTTCTCCTCATCAGACAACTGCTCCTCCAGATCCGCCATTTTCCTTCTGGCGACAAACCGCGGCGGCGGCGGCAGCAGCGGCCACCTGACTTCCCCCTTTCGGTGCGGTCCTCCGCGCCGCGCGACCCCGACAAGGGAGGGGCCCACAGGCCCAGCCGCCGCGCACGCGCCTCGGGAGCCCCGCCTCCCTCCGCCCAGAGCACGGCTGTGCGCGTGCGCGGGTGCCTCGGAGGCCCAGGAACCGGGAGAAGTTGCTTACTTCCGCCTGAGGCAGGCTTGTCAGTATCCTGAGTCTAGGATTCTTTCCCCGCCAGTGACCGTATGGACCCAGTCTGCGACGAGTACATGCTGAGCCCTTGATTATACTCCCATCAAATCCTGAACCCCGCCAGCTAAAATGTGAGAAAGTGCACAAATAGCTTTTAAACATTCTGGTTTTAAAAAAAAGATTACGAGAAAAATATTCGGCCTTCATTAAAATATGCACATACAACCCAGTACATAATTGGAAGATGTTCTGGATATATTCATTAAAGAAATAACTGCTGGTCCTTTATTGTGTGTGGGATACTGTGTTCGCTTCTGGAGATATACAATGTTAAGTAAAAGCCAGAGAAACCTCAGTTCTGAAGAAACTCATTGTCTGTTCCTTAAACGAACACATTAAAAAGTTGGGGAAGGCTCTGCACTATTGCAGGGGAATAAAGAGTTATGTTAGGGCTTCCCTGGTGGCGCAGTGGTTGAGAGTCCGCCTGCCGATGCAGGGGACACGGGTTCGTGCCCCGGTCCGGGAGGATCCCACATGCCGCGGAGCGGCTGGGCCCGTGAGCCATGGCCGCTGAGCCTGCGCGTCCGGAGCCTGTGCTCCGCAACGGGAGAGGCCACAGCGGTGAGAGACCCGCGTACCGCAAAACGAACCCAAAAAAAAAAAAAAAAAAAAAGAGTTATGTTAAACATAGATCGTACCCTTCTGAATAGGGTTGCCAGATTAAATACAGAAAAGCCCAGTAAAAGTTGAATTTCAGATAAACAATGAACATATATTTTAAGTATAAGTATGTCCCATGAAGCATTTGAGATATACCAATTATTCATTGTTTTCAAATTTTATTGGATGTCTGCTAATTTTATTTGCTAAATCTAACCCTACTAATGAATCTTCAAGTTTAACAAGAGAGCGAAGATGTAGTTGAAGCTGTATATATGAATTGGCTAGGAATCTTGTTAAGTGCAGTTGCTGATTCAGCAGGTCTGGGATGTGGCTGAAGAATCTGCATTTCTAACAAGCTCCCAGGTGGTGCCAGTTCTACCGATCTGGAGACCACAGGTTGAGTAGCAAGACCTTAGAGCTCAGATAGGAGTTAAGATTTTAATCATTTTGTTGTACACCTAAAACTAATACAATGTTACATGTCAATTATATCTCAATTAAAAGTATATTAAATACAGACTGGGAGAAAATATTTGCAAATGATGTGACCAACAAGAGATTAATTTCCAAAATATACAAACAGCACATACAACTCAATAACAAAAAAACAAACCAATCAAAAAATGTGCAGAAGACCTAAATAGACATTTCTCCAAAAAAGACATACGGATAGCCAATACGCACATGAAAAGATGCTCAACATCGCTAACTATTAGAGAAATGCAAATCAAACCTACAATGAGGTACCACCTCACACCAGTCAGAAGGGCCATCATTAAAAAGTCTACAAATAGCAAATGTTGGAGAGGGTGTGGAGTAAAGGGAACCCTCCTACACTGTTAGTGGGACTGTAAATTGATGCAGCCACTGTGGAAAACAGTATTGAGGTTCCTCAAAAAACAAAATAGAGTTGACATATGATCCAGCAATCCCACTCCTGGGCATATATCCAGAGAAAACTCTAATTCGAAAAGATCCACGCACCCCAATATTCATAGCAGCACTATTTACAATAGCCAAGACATGGAAGCAACCTAAAATGTCCACTGACAGATAAATGGATAAAGCAGATGTGGTTCATATATACAATGGAATATTTCTCAGTCTCATAAAAGAGAATGAAATAATGCCATTTGCAGCAGCATGGATGGACCTAGAGACTATCATACTAAGTGAAGGGTGTCAGAAAGAGCAAGACAAATACCATATGCTATCACTTATATGTGGAAACTAAAATGTGACAGAAATGAATTTACGTACAAAACAGAAACAGACTCACAGACATAGAAAAGAAACTTATGGTTACCAGGGGATAATGGGGGAAGGGATAAATTGGGAGATTGGGACTGACATATACACACTACTATATATGAAATAAATAACTAATAAGAACCTGTTGTATGGCACAGGGAACTCTACTCAATACTCTACAATGGCCTATATGGGAAAAGAATCTTAAAAAAAAAAGAATGGATATATGTATAACTTATTCACTTTGCTGTATACCTGAAACTAACACAACATTATAAATCAACTATACTCCAATACAAATTAAAAAACAAACAAACTTATGGTTACCAAAGGAGAAAGGGGGTGGGGGAGGGATAAACTAGGAGTTTGGGATTAGCAGATACAAACCACTATATATAAAACAGATAAGCAACAAGGTCCTACTGTATAGCACAGGAGACTATATTCAATATCCTGTAATAAACCATAATGGAAAAGAATATATATATGTATAACTGAATCACTTTGCTGTATACCAGAAACTAACACAACATTGTAAATCAACTACACTTCAATTTTAAAAAGTATATTTAAAAAAGACATTATTCAGTAGAAAATGAGACACTTGGCAAGTTTTGAACAGTGACATGACACCATCAGAAATATGTCTAGCAAGATGAATCTGACAGCTGCATGTAAATGACACATGTGAGACTACCTTAAAGAGCTCAAATAACTGTTCCTATGTAAAACTTTGTTATTGAGTAATCTATTGAATGGTCATGGTGTGCAAATCACTGTTTCTTGTGGATGGAAAGCAAACAGAAGCCATGCTACTAAAAAGCTCATAGTCCATTAGGGGAAAGAAAGGAAGGGGAAGCTTGCTGACACGTGCAGGCAAAAGCAGGTGTCCTGTTAAGGGTAAACCGTGCAGAGAAGACACACCGTTTGGTCAAGGACCTCACTGGATGTAAATAAAATGTTTACTTTTTACAGTTTAGAAACAATTTCTTCATTGATTTCTCACTGCAGCCTCCTGAAGGAAGGTATGTATCAGCATTATTATACCCATTTTAGAGGAGAAAAAACTGAGACAAAATATTTGTCCAAGGTTGTACCTAAGTGACTAAACTGGGATTCGACCCCAAGCATCATATTCCGTATCCCATGTTCTTTCCACTTTGAGATCTTTCTTTCATCCTCTCCAAAGCCTAGGCACTCTCCACCAAATAAAACTTAATGAAGGTGATTACTCTCCCATCCCATCAATTTTATTCACCACCACCTACTTCATCAACAGCACTTCTGTTGTGTTGTTTTTTTTTTTTGATTTCTGTTTACTCAGCAACGCTTAATATAAATAATTTGTACACAGTGGGTACTCAGTAAATGCGTTGCTTGACTAATTGCTGCTCTCTTCCTTTAGAAACCTCACCCAAATCTGGTAATGTCTGGTAATAATTTGAGTCAGACTATGTTTATAATTGTAACCTTGGTGATACTTTACATGGGTTCCCCATAGTGACACAACCAGCAATTATGTATAATTTCTGATAATCCTTTCAAAAACCTCCCAATATCACCCTCTTGATACAATTAAAAGGAATTATAGAATTCACATAATCTAGGAATTCTGGGAAGATTTCAAGCCATCACACAAAATAGGTATATATAGAATGACATTATAATGGCTGCACGTAGAAATGCTCTGGTATTCTTTTTTTTTGCAGTACGCGGGCCTCCCGCTGCCGTGGCCTCTCCCGTTGCGGAGCACAGGCTCCAGACGTGCAGGCTCAGCGGCCATGGCTCACGGGCTCAGCCGCTCTGCGGCATGTTGGATCTTCCCGGACCGGGGCACGAACCTGTGTCCCCTAGTATCGGCAGGTGGACTCTCAACCAGTGCGCCACCAGGGAAGCCCTCTCATTTAATTTTTAAACTCACCTGTCTTCTACTTGTTAGTGGTGTAATCTTGACCTTCCCAAACAACTGCACCAGAAACTGATTAAAAAAAAAATTCTTCCCTTTTTAGCGTTTGTTTTTAAATTACTCATATGCTTCTTAATCTATTTTCCTGTGGATGTGATCTATGTCCTCAACTAATTTTAAGCTTGTCAAGGTCAGAGGTTACCTAATTTCATAGAATCACAATCCTAGAATCCATCTAGTGCAAATTTCTCATTTTACAGGTAAGTTGAGCTTTGGATAAATTAAATGAATTGATAAAAATTGCAATCTAGCTGATATTTTTCTTTTATTTTAAAGATGTTTTTGATGTGGACCGTTTTTAAAGTCTTCATTGAATTTGTTACAACATTGCTTCTGTTTTATGTTTTGAGTTTTTGGCCAAGAGGAATGTGGAATCTTAGCCCCCCGACCAGAAATCAAACCCGCACTCCCTGCACTGGAAGGCGAAGTCTTAACCACTGGACTGCCAGGGAAGTCCCTGATATTATTTTAGAACACAAGTGTCCTTATGGTTAAACTCATGTTCTTAGCTTAATACACACACACACACACACACACACACACACACACACACTCATGTATAAATATGTATAATCTAAATATATATCACAATCATATAATATATAATAGAATAAACATCCTTTAAGTATCAATGATGAACTACTAAATAGTTGCATCAGATACAGATTTCTGTAACACCATGTTAAAACTAATATCCATAGTTTAAAAGTATGGCTTACCTCACTTCTGAGAAAAACTGCCAGTGTTGATGTTATTTGGTTGTTAGTCTTTCATGATCAATGAACACAACTGGTCTCATATAATGTCCTTTATGGCAGTAGAAAAGTGTTAAAAATCATGTATATTTTCAAAGTAATTGCTTTCTAAGTCAAATAATTGCCCGAACTATTTGTTACTTGTAGTTGTGTGTGTCCTATCTGTAAGTCCATTTCCTCAGATAGATTTGAAAAGGTCTATACAAGTGGAACCCTTGGAGAAGCCTG